GTGTAATAGACTATTATATACAACCTTTATGTATACTGACCACACATTTTGAGTTAGTTATTAGTTCATTTGTATGGAGAGTTATTCCAATATCCTAGACATTAAGTGCTGAGACCATCAGTAGAGACATTCAGCAGAGCATAAAGTTGCCGTCTTTCCACCTGTACTTGTAAAGTTAAATATGTTTACCAGTGTTTCCAGACCAAAGTTTCTGGGTCTGCTTAAGCTGCATTCTTATTGGGTTACCAAAGATATGGGAATGCTCCCAGTGTTCCTGGAGGCAGTAGCCAAGTTCTTCTCTGGCCAACTTGTGTGTCGACAGGCTGTGTTGGTCCAGTCTTTGGATTTGGTGTAGGCTCTTGAGCTCCTCTCTGCCTCTCCCATTTCCTCTCAGTTGTCAGGGTTTTTGTTTTCGTTCTTGAAGGCAGTTGAGTAGAGCTGGGTCATTGCCTGCCATTTGTTGAGGTAGGTCATCTGTGAAATCAGATGCTGGGTTGCATACTCATCCTATTGAAGTGCAAACTACCATCAATACTCAGAATAGACCTCAAACAATGATCAAGCGAGAGGGGGTTATTCAGTAAATTCAATTTTAATAATAAAAGGATAGACTGGGAAACAATAAACAGGGAACTTACAAACATTCCATGGGAAACTGTTCTACGTAATAAAAGTCCTACAGAAGGAATAGAAAAACTGACTTTGGAAGCATATAAAATCTGTCTGAAACATGTTTCTTTGAGGAAAGCCAGAAAGAGATCCAACGTAGAAAGAGAACGCAGAAAAGACTATAAAAGAAGGAAAAAAATAACGGAAATACTTAAGCAGACACGACTTTCCCTACAAAGAAGAAATAATTTAAATAGGGAGATTGAAGAAATCAAGCAGAAATTGAAACACTCATATCAGACTGAAGAAAGGCAGTTAGAACAGAAAGCAATTCAAGAAATAAAGAAAAATCCAAAATACTTTACATATGCGAAATCAAAAGCAAAAACCACTGCCAGTATTGGACCTATTCGTACGAGAGAGGGTTCATACACAGAGGATGACATAGAAATTAGTGAAATCCTAAAAAAACAGTATGAGGACATGTTTAGCACTCCAATAAACAACATGAAAGTGGAAGAACCAGACAATTTCTTTATGCGTGATATCCAAACCCCTGTAAATATAACTGATATCAACATGAGCGTACTAGATTTTGAAAGAGAAATTGAAAACATGTTCATGCACTCGGCTCCGGGTCCAGATTCATGGAATTCAATATTTATAAAGAAATGCAAAGTGCTGGTAGTACAGGCACTCAGTTTAGTGTGGAGGAAGAGCTTGGACACGGGGGAGATACCAGATGCATTTAAAGGAGACATTGCCCCTCTACACAAGGGAGGGGAGCAAAGCATTGGCAAAGAATTGTGGACTAGTTGCACTAACGTCCCACAAAATAAAAGTATTTGAGAGAGTGATTAGGAGTCAGATCACCAGTTTCATGGAGACCAATGACCTTCACAACCCAGGCCAACATGAATTTCGAGCGCGAAGATCGTGTCTTTCACAGCTACTTGATCACTACGACGAAGTCACTGAGGCATTAGAAGAAAAACAGAATGGTGATGTGGTATACACGAACTTTGTTAAGGAATTCGATAAATGTGAGCATGGAGTGATAGCACACAAAATGAGGTCAATGGGAATAACTGGTAAAGTAGGACGTTAGATACTCAGTTTTCTGTCAAACAGGACACAAGGAGTAATAGTCAATCATATAAAATCGAGTCCAAGCGCAGTTAAAAGCTCTGTACATCAGGGTACAGTCCTTGCAACACTGCTTTTCATTATTCTCATACCAGATATAGACAAAAATACAAGTCACAGCTTCGTATCATCCTTTGCAGATGACACAAAAATCAGAATGAAAATTACCTCGGTTGAAGACATTGAAAACCTTCAAGCAGATCTTGATAAAGTTTTCGACTGGGCAACAGAAAATAACATGATGTTTAACAGTGATAAATTCCAGGTACTCAAGTATGGTAAAAATGAGGACCTTAAACGTAATACAGGGTACAAAACACAATCAAATGTTCCCATAGTAGGAAAGCAGCATGTAAAGGATTTGACAATGATGTCTGACGACCTAACGTTTAGGGAGCATAACTAAGCAAATATTGCGTCAGCCAGCAAAATGAATGGATGGATTACGAAAACTTTCAAATCCAGGGATCCCATCACAATGGTTGTACTGTACTATACAAATCACTTGTACTGTCCCGTCTTGAATACTGTTCAGTACTCACTAACCCCCTTCAGAGCAGGAGAGATTGCTGAAATAGAGGGAATACAGAGAACATATACAGCATACATAGACGCAATAGTGCACCTAAATTATTGGGATCGTTTCAAAGCTCTCCAAATGTACTCACTAGAAAGAAAACGAGAGAGATCATATAATATACACGTGGATGATACTGGAGGGCCAGGTACCAAATCTACACAGTAAAATAACAATGTACTGGAGTGAACGATATGGAAGAAAATGCAGAATAGAACCAGTGAAGAGCAGGGGTGCCATAGGCACAATCAGAGAACACTGTATAAACATCAGAGGTCCACGGTTGTTCATCATCCTCCCAGCGAGCATAAGAAATATTGCTGGAACAACCGTGGACATCTTCAAGAGAAAACTAGATCGTTTTTTCCCAGGAGTGCCGAACCAACTGGGCTGTAGTGGATATGTGGGCCTGCGGGCTGCTGCAAGCAATAGTCTAGTAAATCAAACTCTTAAGTCAAGCCTGGCCTCGGGCTGGGCTTGGGGAGTAGAAGAACTTCCAGAACCCCATCAACCAGGTATCAACCAGGTATCCCTTGGTTGTCCATCTCCATCTGGTCAGTGCCATGCTCGTTTTGGAAGGCACTGGCCTTTTTGTAGTTCACTCCTTTGATGGGGCAGTGGGTGGGGTGGGGGCAGCTCACCTGTCCTTAGGATTCGTTGGTTTGGCCGGGTAGTGGCTTGCACTGCCCCTGTGTGGTGGTGCAAGTCACCAAGGAAGAACTCATAGGTTCTGCCTTGGTGGCTGTTTATCCAATCTCCAGGATTCCCTGTTCCAAGGCTTTTCCTTCTCTAGTTGTCCTCAGTATTTCTTCGTTTGCCAGCCTGCAATCTTTCCTCGTGGCCATGGGGCTTGGAGGTTTGCCCTTTTCTCGGCTGTCCTCGCAACCCTGTCCTAGGCTGTTGTTTGAGCGGGGTGGGGAGGGGTTTTCCATTGGTTTGTGTGGTCTCGTTTTTTTGTTGTGCCTGGGTGGCCGCCTGTGTTCTTGGCTCACCTTTTCAGCAAAAATCTCTTCTTTGATGCTGTGTTGGTGGTTCTCCCTCCTCCCTGGTGCTTGCCCATTGACTGTTCTCTGTTGGTACTTAACTTCAGGGAGTCACAAGAGGCTACCTCAGAAACCAACATTGAATGTAATGAAACTCCAATTTTTGGGTGAGCCCAGGAGGAGTGTCCCTTGACACCCTCCCTCCAGGTCGTCGGGGGGATTGTGTCATTGAACTGAGGGTGGAGCAGCTGGCCAAACCCTAGCTGCCTCCCTACTCCCTGCAAATGATGGGGAAGGTGGTGCAAACGAGCTGGCGCTAGTTTCATAAAATTTCAATAGTTTGTTTACATGGTTATGGGGAAGTTTGTATGGCTGTTTCAAGGCTTCAGTCTCTGAACCTTGCAGTGGTCTCTATTGTTTCGCTGACTTTCTGGAAGTTGCTACTGGTGGGCTGGCAGTGTGTCGCCTGCTCTCCGTGCCTCTGTGAGGTGACTATTATGACCTAGTACTTGGTAGCCATCTCAGCGAGGAAGCTTCAAGGAGCCACCGGGGCTTGCCCAGAACAAGGCATTTCATTACATTCAATGCCTTTTTTAATTTTGTATTCATAGATTCTAAAGCTTTAATGGATTTTGATGAAATCTAAAACAGAATAGGTAATTCAGCAGGCTTAACAGAGCTTATTTTGAAAACTTATTTTGCAAGATAGATCTTTGGGAAAAAATATTTACGCTTGCTCTTATTATTATGAAGCATAAATTAGACATTTTTGTCAATAAAGATTATCATGCTTTGTTCACTTCAACAATGACAATATTTTGTCATTGTTAACCCCATATATGCTCGGGACTTTTAAAACTTAATCTGGACAATAAATCATGGTGAGTGTTTTGGTCGTCACTCTAAATCATCCCTGTATGACCCATGCAGTTTAGCATCCCCATGTGACTCATGCAGTTGAAGGGTTAAAGTAACCTGCTCCATCTGCACTGATGAAAAATCATTCCTCTTGTATTTTTTAACCTAACTTTCCATTTGGGATTAGCGTTTAGATTTGATTTAACCTTTAATGCTTTTTCCAATTCTTGTGTTTTCCCTCCAGGCATTTTCCTTTAACTTTCCAAGTCTCGCTATCCTTTATTAAATCCTTAATTTGACCCCTCTGTTTTATTAATTTGCTCGTCTGGCCGTGACGGCCTGACCTCTCTCTAGATAAGCTGCATCCATGACTATTACCTTGCTTTTCAAAACTGTTTCTATACTCTCGTGTAAAAATGCTTTGTGTGTGAGTATCATGCTTTCTATACTTCAGTTAACCTGACACATGTTATGAGTTACGTTGGAGCCTTCCTCACTGTAACATTTCTGCTTTTAATTTCCTATTGACCTATAAATTTTTGGAAACATTATTGTGTTTTTTTTAGACTTGATGCAGATGATTGACAGTGTTTTATGTAATGTTTTATCACTTTTACTTCAACCAAAAGTTTGGCACTGTGATGTGCCACACTTTCTATTAAAAATTAATCTCCCTGTTTCAATATTTGTTTCTTTCTATCCCTTCTTTTCCATGTGCATGTTTATGCTTCCTATCACACCATATGCATAACACGCTTCTTTACCAAAATAGCGAAATAGTTTTCCTGGAGTGTGAATACTAATAGGTATAACAGATATAACACTCATTATAATTTGTATATCATTTATATAGTTCACATTTGGTGGTACAATATGTGAATGACAGATAATTCGAATTTTATATAACCTGCAGCATCCAGTGAATGCATTGAAATGTAACTAGTAAACCAGAGGAAAAATGTCTATAAGGAAAAAGCCTCCATTCTGCCATTATTAAATGCCCAGCAACTGACAAAACAGAGAGAACTCTTAAGAAATTGTGCTAAACGGATCACATACACCTACTTGTGATTATGTATTGCTAACATGACAAGTAGGATTTGGCAAGATCAAAAATATTTCACGCTATGAGCTCTACTGAAAGTATTTTTTTTATAGCAAAGTTAAAAAAGAATGAGCTTTGTACACAATATAACATGGGAAATTATGGTTCACTATATTAATGCTGAGCCTCATTTTGACTGTTTAAAGCTGACATTGTTAACTAACAGAGACCAGCATCTCTTAGTTGCTTATTAAGGTATTTTTCATATGAAAATACATGTTCATAACTACTTGAGGAAATAGAACAATTCATAACAATACACTTTTTCCTATATAACTACTTGCAACTAACTGTCCAGATTACTCTAGATTCATTCCAGAAAATTATGTTTAATTATAAAGCATTAATGATTATGACAATGAAAAAATCTGATAGAGAATTAAAAAATGTAAAAGTTCACAAAAAATGTGAGTATCGCTGTATTCCAGCTAGTGGTGGAGTTATTTCAGTCTACGCGTAAACCTCCAAGGCATGGTTCGTGTGTTGGCAACTGGTGGTCCGGAAGGGGCTGGTACTCCTGATGTGGGTGTCATGGTTGGCTGTGACGCACCCACCCGAACACTAAGATCAAATCCTGGTTTTCTGAAAAAAAGAGTTAATGTTGGTTTCATAAAATTAATTTAGCTAATACAGTAGTTATTAAATTTTCTTGTAGAAGGATTAAGTATGATTTTATCATTCATTGTAAGGATCCAAATATATTATCAAGAAATTATATAAATTGAGTAACAGGATACAAATGTGAACACTGCAAGTAATCAAATATATATCCCGATGTTAATATTCATTAACATTTGCTTCTCTACACAATCCTATATTTTGTCATTTTATATTCATAATTTTTATCATAACTACTTTTCTAAACTATAATAAATGTTTTACTACAGCAGTCATTTAGCATCTAATATATAGGCTTATTGTATAGTGGATTTAGTATATTTTGCATAACTAAAATAACTACTGTCATAAATATGAATATTAAAATAGATCCCAACACCAATTATAAATTGATTACAGTATATACTGTACTCCACTACAGAAACCTTGCAATTACTACAGTCACCTTGAGTGTCTACGGCATTAGTGCAACAGATGTTTCTTCGACCACATATCCAGCGTGCTGGATATGGGTGAAGGAATGATAAAGAGAATGGCAATGGTGGACAGTAGTAACACACTTAAGAATTATTCAATAATAAATACAAATTTGTCCTTCACTTATGGTAAAGGAAAGTCTACTTGGAAGGATTCAATTTACATGAGATTACGATTAGGATATAAATATATCTGGCAATACGGTGTTGATGTCAGTAAAAAAGATAAGGAGTGTAAATTATGTAGTATGCCGTACGCCCACACCTTAGAACATTATGTATTAGAGTGTCACCTTATTGAAAAATATAGAAATAAGGAAATAAATAGTGTACCACATCAAATTGGTTGGATGTGTGATAATGGTATAATAGACAGTATACTTAGGAGCTACAAGAATTTTGCCCCAAGAATGTAACAATTATATGCTGTACTTGCTGTATGCAATGTTAAATGGGATTCTTGTACTGTTATATGTCTATTTGTACTCACTGAATTTGTGCGCCCCTTGAGGGACTTGAAGTAGAGGGGGGTAGAAATAGCCTAAGCTACTCTATCCCTTTGAGATGTATTTATTGCTTATCTCAATAAACATACTTGAACTTGAACTTGAACTCCAGCGTGCTACAAGTTAATGATACAATTTTAGTAAACTTTTTTTTTTAAGAAGTACATTTTTAGAGAACAATTTCTTTATGTATTTAAACTACAAGCAAACACGAGTGCTGTGTCTTTAACGATCAGCGATAGGGCATGGGACATTAATTCCGTTTAATTCAAATACTATATATGTTTAGGATGAAAAACATATTGATATGCATCAATAATTGCTAAAAAGAAACTTTATCTTTTTGAGTGAGATACCAGTTTTGGGAACATGAAGCCTGTGCTTATTGAGGTGCCCTAGACCATCGTGCGATGACCTCAGGATGCAACCAATAACAGTTGCCATACTATACTGAAGCACAAATAGGATCCACGATGATTGCTCTCTAGATTCCTTTTTTAGTTCATGGGAATTACAAAAGGAAAACAATTTTTCATTATAGTAGCAGTATCAAATAAAGCATGGGTCATTATTATCCTGAAAGGCAGATACCAGCAGCATATTTTAAAATATACATCAAATATCAGGTATGGATGGGGAACCTGTTACCCCAGTGGTCCAAGGGCGCAGTAAATTGCCAGATTAGAATTGAGGATCAAGAAAAGCTTCTTATGTGCAATATAAGATGTGGCTAATTATTAAGATACGGGGTTTAGTGTTTCATTGTTTAATTTTTTCTCTGGAAGAGCCTGTATGAAGAGTAAAGTTCTTGCATGTGCTTCAAAGCATGTCAAATGGTCAAAAGAATTGCAGGTGTCCTGCCAAACAAGGCACAACACAGTATGTAGCAGAAATGAGATCTGTGTGAAAGCTATAATTTAAAGAGCTGGATCAAGTCTAATGAATATTCAAAATGTTATAATGTAATAAACATGTATGCTTAATAAAAATCATTTTGATGAAAGAAAAAAGTTGAAAGGACAACATGAACTTTAAAAAAATTAAGTGTATGGAAAGTGTAATAAGTATGATGCCTATACTGACTGTACGGGAAAGTGAAGTGAGCGTGAGGCCGAGTGCAAGTACTTGGGTCTACTGAATGAGAACCAACAAGTGTCAAGCTGGCCTCTAGCATCACACCTGACCAGGGTCTACTGAATGAGAACCAACAAGTGACAATCCAGCCTCTAGCATCACACCTGGCCAGGGTCTACTGAATGAGAACCAACAAGTGACAATCCAGTCTCTAGCATCACACCTGACCAGGGTCTACTGAATGAGAACCAACAAGTGACAATCCAGCCTCTAGCATCACACCTGACCAGGGTCTACTGAATGAGAACCAACAAGTGACAATCCAGTCTCTAGCATCACACCTGGCCAGGGTCTACTGAATGAGAACCAACAAGTGACAATCCAGTCTCTAGCATCACACCTGGCCAGGGTCTACTGAATGAGAACCAACAAGTGACAATCCAGCCTCTAGCATCACACCTGACCAGGGTCTACTGAATGAGAACCAACAAGTGACAATCCAGCCTCTAGCATCACACCTGACCAGGGTCTACTGAATGAGTGCCAACAAGTGTCAAGCTGGCCTCTAGCATCACACTTGGTTTACTGAACGAGATAAAACGGGTGTTAAGCCAGACTCCAGCATCACAGGATACTGGAGATAAATATAGAAGCAGAATTTGAAGAAAATTCTTAAGAAAATGTGTAATTAAGAGTCAATTATTTCAAAATTGTAAAAAGCACTATTTTTCAAATAATATATAGGTGCATTTAGCAATACAGTATAGCTATTTGTCTGGTAAGTAAAGCAAAAAGTAAGGACAACTGAAGTGTACAGATTGCAAAGGTCATCAAAAAGCTTAAGTGATATTAAAATCTACAGTAAAATACTAGATACAAATTTTTTAGTATCAAATGTTACATTTTCAAACACTAGTGCAGTATGTTTTAGTTACATTTACCCAGAACAGTGATCAACTCATTTAGGAAAACTAACTAGAAGCCCATATCAAGCTGATGCCCATTACTCATCATTTTATAATTGAAATTAAGTGGCAGATAATTATGATTAAAAGAATCTTCTACTTATACTGTATAATCAAGTGATGTAAATAGTAGGCAAGGTAGTTTACAGGGATATCGTACCTACTTCCTGACCAAGGCAGGTATGTCGAAAGTCTGCAGCCTGCAAATATAAAATGTATCTTATCACTAGACTTTTATGAAGACAATGAAATGAACTTAAACGATATCATGTTCAGATTTCGATGTGTTAGCATGGGTGTGTTATTACCTAAGTGTAGCTACAGAATGAGAGCTATGCTTAAGTTGTCCCAGTACTCTTTTGATATATAACGCTATGAAACTACTTACGGTTTGTGCCTTCACCACCACCTTACTGAACTTCCTCCAACTACTTACCACTTTTTGCAAAAGTGAATGTTCTAATATATTTTGGACAGCTTTGTTTCCTGAGCTTGAATCTATGCCCTCTTGTTTTTGAAGTTACAGGTCTCAACAATTCCTCATTGTCAATTTTGTTGATTCCTGTTACTATTTTGTGTATACTGTAGTGATCATATTGCCTCTTTTTTTGTTTTATTCTATCTTCTAGTTTGGTGTGTGTGTGTGTGTGTGTGTGTGTGTGTGTGTGTATTTACTATTTATGCCTGTAGAATTGTGCTATTAGCTCATGAACCCCATCTTTCTAATCAATCTATTTTTCCTCTATTATGTCTACTATGTATATTTCTCTCTAAAACACACACACACACACACACACACACACACACACACACACACACACACACACACACACACACACACACTACAGTAAAGAGGTGGTTAGGTTCACTGTGCGTATCTGGTCCAAAAAAAAGGCTTTTGATACAGTCCCATACAAGAGGTTGTTCTGGAAACTGGAACATGCTGGAGAGATGACAGGGAAACTTCTGACATGGATGAAAAATTTTCTGACAGATGAGGGCAGTAATCAGAGACAATGTATCTGACTGGAGGAGTATTACTAGTGAAGTATCACAGGGTTCAGTTCTTGCACCAGTAATGTTCATTGTCTACATAAATGAGCTACCAGAAGGAATACAGATTTAAATGAACATGTTTGCAGATGATGCTATGATACTGGGAAGATAGGAGATGCAGATGATTGTAATGTCCTTCAAATTAATTTAGATATAATAAGTGCTTGGAGCATCAAGTGGCAAATTGAGAGGAAGAGCCTTCTACCTCTCCTTCAACGGCGGCTTCAACTTGCGATTGATGCCGTGTCGTTTTGGACCACCAATCATGGCTTCAAGTTCTCTGCAACTAAGACTTGTGCTATGACTTTTACTCGAAAGCATGTCATCCTTCTTTGCCCCTTTATGGTCATCCCCTTGTGTACAAAGATTCTGCGAAGCTTTTGGGGTTAATCTTTGACACTCGTTTGTCTTGGTCGCCCCATATATCTTACCTCCGAGTTGAATGCCCTAAGGCCCTTAACCTACTTAAGGTTTTGTCCCATACTTCTTGGGGGAGCGGATAGGCGCACTCTCCTCTATTTGCACTCCTCTCTCGTCCTGTCTAAACTCGATTATGGTTGCCCTGCATACTCTTCTGCTTCTCCTTCTACTCTTCACTGTCTTGATCCTTTGCACTATACTGAGTTGCGCCTCAACTCCAGTACCTTTCGTTCAACTCCTACCCTCAGCTTGTATGTTGACACTGGCTTCCTATCTCTCCAGGATGGACGATGATCGCTACTGTCTTCGCTATCTTGCACGGTCCTTGCAGCATCCTCACTCTCGCCTCTGTCATACTTTGACTTTTCCCCCTCCTGTAGTTCCTGTTCCTCTTCACCACCTTCCTATTTCTGTCCGTTTGTCACACTTACAAGATTCTCTTTCGGTTCGTATTACCAATGTTTCTC